AAAGGACCTTTATTTCTTGTACCTTTGATTTTTATGGCGTACAGATGATGAAAATTCAAAGCGCAGTGCCTCACATTAGAACGAAATCTGGTTACTGCTGGTGTCAAACAGTATTCAGCTGATTTTCATCTGCAAAACTCAGCCTGGGCCGATATTAGACCAAAAGCTTTTCATCATCTGTAAGAGATAAAGGCCGTTTTTATATTACGTCCTTAAACGTCGGCTAACTGCAATAAAAAAATCGAATAATATTGTGAATATTTTAGGGCTGAAACAATTAATTGATTACTGAAATAATCATCGACTTTAGTAATCGAGTAATTGTTAACTGGAGTATAGAGACTCTAGAATATGCTTTTAACTGTCAGAGCTACCCACTTAGAGCAGTAATGATCTTAAAATTGTAAACAACATACATATTTTTCATTTACACGATAAAAAAAAAAACCTTTTCTTCAGTCAATCTGCTCTATCCAGAACTCCTCAAGTGGAAAGTTTTACTTTCACCTGGTTTAATTTCATAAAAAAATCTTCGAGGAACCTTTGACTATCTGATTATTAATGGAATAATCAGAAAAAATAATCAACAGATTATTCGATTTGCAAAATAATCGTTAGTTGCAGCCCTACAATATTTTACCTTCTGTTATAGTTAATTTAAACCTTTGACGGCAAACGGAGGTGCTAATGGATCAAATGTTTAAAGTAATATTCAATGGATCAGGATCTAAAAGTGAAGGATTCTCTTGTATTTTAGATGTTTCAGTTTTGTTAGATTACAGCGTACACCTTTAACCCCCTTACGTTTCAGGTCAATATCAACCTAAATGTCTTGCCTTTTTTCCCAGGATGGAGAAGTTATCGGCATTAACACCATGAAGGTCACTGCAGGGATCTCGTTCGCTATCCCATCTGATCGCGTGAAACTATTCCTTGATCAAGCATCGAGAAGAAAAAGTAAGAATGAGAATCAGGAGCCCCACGCCTCCCTCGGAAACTGTGTCTGTATAAAACTAAAAAGGGAAATAGATTTTTTTTAACGCATCCTTCTTCCTCCCAGCTTCCAGATTAGACGACTCTGGAACCAGGCCTCGGTACATCGGAGTCATGATGCTGACGCTGACACCGAGGTAAAAGCATCGTTATGAACATCCTGCAGTAGTGGACACCTGCATTTGGCTAAAATCATCTGTTTTTCAGCATCATAGCTGAGCTGAAGATGAGGGACCAGTCCTTCCCCAGCGTTAGTCACGGTATTCTGATCCACAGAGTCATCACAGGGTCACCAGCCAGCAGGTAACTACTGTCACCACATTCAGACATTTATGGTCATTTTTAGGGGGAACGGTTATCTTCCCATGAAGAAAGTAAAAAAAAATAATCCTAGATTTAGTCCAAAGATTCCTTCTAAGAGTTAAAAGCTGGATTTAAAAGTTATTTATCAAGTGTCTCCCTTTACTTTTAGCACAGTGTAGGACTAAAATAAGTGTCTCAGAGTGGGTAACGGCGCCCTGAACGTAATTTTAAATGGTTTCCCTTCTGAATGGACCTGATTATTAATGGCTGTGATGTCCCAGCATTGTCTTCAGAATTTTCTCTTAAATATAGCAATAAAATCTGCTGAAAACATCAAACTAAAAGAAAATCACAGATTGGCCAAAAGGTTTCTTCTGAGTTTTCTTCTTCCAGACTAGGGGTGTAAATCACATCCATCATGGCGATTCGATTCAGTATCGATTTCCTGACCCAACGATTCGATTATTTTCTATACTCAAGAATACACCACGATGCGATTCGATTAATCGGTTCATTTTTTTTTTTACTCCTTACAGGCTAAACAAAGTTTCAAGTTTGAAATAAATCAATGAAAGCTGTAATATCCTTATGCTTTTTTTAAAATAACAGAAGTAGAAAAGTTGCATCAAAAAATACTACAAAAATACTGCACATAATCAGTGCAATTAAATACCTCGGTTCCAGAGTGTCGACGTCCCCGCCCCCTTGAGAGACGCTCCGCTGCACTAAATTCTAGCTGACCACAGACAGTGCAGCAGACAGGAGGCCAGCTTGTTTTGTTTTTATGATCGAAATTGCGGAAAACAACTCATGAAGTTTGACCCGCTAGAAGAGCGAGGTGCGCAAGACCCTTTTTTCACCTGGATCTCCGCTCTTTTTGGCCTTCTTGTCCCTCCGTCGTCGGACTAAACTCGCCCCCACTTCCTCAGCGCCTCGGCCGTATCTAGACCCACAGTGTGTAGCTTCAATATTGAGCATAATATAAAAATGTCTGTGTCAAGCTTACTGCAACACACTGCTGTAAGAGTATAACCAGGAAGCGCGGTAGGAGGGCAAAATAGGTTTAGCGCCACCTCAGCACGGGAGGGAGAATTACGTCCATGAGCAAATGGATAAAAATAGACCGGAGGAAAAAAAAAAACATGATTCGATACTCTTGCGGACGTATCAATGCATCGGATCGTCGGCTGTTGGATCGATGCATTGATACAAAACGATTATTATTTACACCCCTATTCCAGACCTGTTGATGTCGTCTGCAAAGTCTGCCTAAAACCATTTTTTGGTTTTTCCACAGCAGGGGGAACCTTTTCAATCATGAGGCTCATTTATAAGCATTAACTAGAATCACAGCGATCTGAGAAGCTTTATCAGTCACAAAAAAAAAAAAAAAAAAATTGAAAAGTCGGAATGGAAGAGATCATTTGGGACAACATGCTGTTAATTTACTAGAACTGATTGGCCAGCAGTGATTTATGTTTCCTCCATGCATTTGTAACAAACAGCCACGACCTGTTTATCTCATGTCCATGATTTATGGTTGAGCTTAAGTGTCACGTGGCTGCCAGTTATTTTTATCCTGATATTTTTAGATGTTATTTGGTGAGAAACTGGAATGGAAATACTGTTCATGTTCCAGTTGCTGTTAGAGCATCATAACGGCTTTTAGCTCCAGCATAAAGCTCTGCTGCATGTGGATACTGGTGAGATTACCTTAATTTATACTCGCTCTCTCCAAGCAATACCATTTTATCAGCTCTGCGCCATCAAGCCAGAAGATCTTAAGCTCCTGAAACATCCATGGACGTCTTTCTCACCTCAGTACTATCCTCCTCTGGAGGTTTGATACATATTTGAAGGAGAATGAGTGATTCTTTGACTTGAGAAAATTGATAGTTTTTATTCTCAGGTTTTAACTTCTTAGGAATAATATGTTGTGCTGCCTGATGAATACAGTTCCTGATGAATAAAAGCATGTTATGCTGGATTTAAAACTAAATTGTTCATCACTAATCTAAGAACCTGCTGATCTGGATGGATGTAGAAATATCTGGATAAAATAAAACATGTGTTCAAAGCCATGTGGTCATTAAGAAAGCAGATCTTTAATCTCAATGAGCTTTTCTCTGGTTAATCCAAGGCTAGATTAAGAAAACTAACAGAACTCTTGGTTTACTAAATCTTAAATCTGCAGACGCTTGTTTTGCAATCAAGATTTGCAAGAATAAAGACGCAAAACTTAGTATAGCATATTTAGATTTTTTTCCCTTTATTTTTCTCAACATTCTGTTAGTTGCATTAATATTTAGCTGTGTTTTGGATTGCTGTCCCCAAAAGTTGGAGATTTCCTTTTTGGTTCCTCTGCAACAGTCTTAAAACATTTTCTTTTAAAGAAAAAAGGAACCTGGTCATTACAGCTCTATACAAATGCATTGTTTACTTCCTGATTTACTTCCAGATTTTTGCTAAAAGTGTGCTTCCTAAAACATAAAACCTTTCCTTTAGAAAGATTTGTCTAATTTTTTACCAGCCTCAATTAGAGCGGAATACTGTAGTCAGAATTTTTTTTAAAAATACAAGTGGTGACCACATAAAAGAGGCTGAACGGTCTTAAAAAGCAACACATGGCTATTTAGATCGGAGCAAAACCATGGACATCTACCTGGGTTTGGATCTCCAGCAAGAATCATGATCCACAAGAAAACAGAGCGGAGTAAGCATCCAGAAAGTCACAAAAGACGTCTGGATTAAACTAAATCAATTCAGTCAAAGTTCAGACTAAAGTCAAGCTGTGTTGCTGTAGGATGATTTAAAGGAAGCCCTTAATGCTTGAAAGAACCTCCAGTGTTACTGGATGAAAACGGCTGCAAAGAGAGCGCCAGTAGTCCTCTATGGCAATGATATCAGATTTTAATCAGCCGTTTCTTTCCATATACGGCCAAGTGGGTTTGAATTGTTCCAACTTTTTATTAAATCAACTTGGAGCTCAAAAAATAACCAGCAGAAACCCTAAGAATGAATCTTGTCTGTAAAATAAAACAAAGTTAGGAAAAAGAAACTGAATTGATATTTCTCTGAAATCCTGTTACAGAGCTGGAATGCTGCCAGGAGACATCGTGCTGAAGATCAACGGCGTCGAGGTGAAAACCTCTGAGGAGATCTACAAGGCTGTCAGGAGCTGCAAAAGCATCACCATGGTGGTGCAGAGAGGAAACGAGCTGCTTCAGCTCCAAGTTACGCCTGAATACATCGAGTGATGCAGGCCTCGGCGCTTCCCGTTACACACTGAGGACCTCATGGTCCAGGAGAGGAAAACTGTGAATCCTGACAACTTTTTTTGGTTTAATGTGAATACTTTTATTCATATGGAACAAAACAAGTCTACAGTTGCTTAAATAAAACAAAGTATGGCCATAATTAAGCAACATAAGTTCTTAAAATGAAACATCAGATGTGAAACATTTCTGGGTTTTCTGACTACTTCTTTGTAAAATTAATAAACTGTGGTGGGTTAGTTTGTAAATAAAAGGCTGAAACAGCATATTTTATTAAAGCCATTTATTGTTAAACAGCAGAACGAAGCATGAGAGACTCAACACTATGGCAAGAAGAATGGTAATACAACTAACTACCATTAACTGAGTAAATAAGCCTGTCCGGTAACAACGAGAGGGGTCTGGCTGCAGAGCTGCACTGCGAGGATCCAGAGCTGCACTGCGAGGATCCAGAGCTGCACTGTTCGACCCAGAAGTTCATTTAAAGACTTTCAAAGAAAATAGCTTTGTTTCAGAAACAAGTGTTATCCTGGAAACTTATGTACATGCACAATTTTAGTCCCCACCAAACTCCTATCTGGAATAATAGATATCATATGTGCTACATAGAAATAAGTGTGTTTGGATGGAGGTTGGATGTCCTATTAGGATTTTTTGCTTACTGTATAATTTAAACTGCTCCTATGCTGAGTTTAACAGTCATAAACCGTAATCCGGCAGCAAAGACTTGCTGTGCGCTATTCCCGAAGGCTTTGAATAAAACTTGGCGGCCCTGACAGTGCAGGAGACCCCATTTTACCGTTCTGCGATGAAGCGTCCTGACAGTGCAGGTCTGCAACCAGACTCTCTCGGTCACAACTGTTGCTAGGATGAAGGGAAAAAAAAACAACACAATCGCATCTATTTGAACTCCTTAAAGTTCATCAGGCGCTATTAAATGAAAACATGAAGCATTTTCATGTTGAAGAAAAAGTAATCCCAATCCTGCATGAGGGAAATAAAGTGAAAAAGATAAAAGCTGATATTTCCCTGGTATATGTACAGTAACGCACACTTACAGTAAAGTAATAAAGTGACATGTACTGGACTGCTACACAATTAAAGGTAATTAGCTCACAGACGGCTAATAAATGGAGAGAACATTCAACCCAGTTCAGGTTTAGAACGACAAGTTCAGACTTTAGGACTAAAGACATCTGTTAAGTACGAGTACTACAACATACAAGTATGGGAGGAGGGGAAAAAAATAAAACTTTTTTCATTAAATCTACTTTAAAAAGGCTTAATATATATTGCTGGTAATATTTTTTTCTTTTTAAGAAAATATAAGTTGTGCGACTGAAGCTTACAATACACTGCTGGCAGTAGGGGCAGGATCTGTGGGGCGGGGCCTCTGGAGGCACCATGGGTGGAGAGAGAAAGACGAAGAAATTTGATTTCTCAAAATGCCTGAATCCCTTACATTAAAACCAAGATGCTGCTCTGGTTGTTTGTCACTGTGGAATGCTGCAAAAAAAAAAATAAATCACATAAGGTGCACAAACAGCAGCCGGGCTACAGTCAAACTCCAACAGATACATAAATAAGTGGCAGTAGGGAGGGGAGGGGCTAGCAGGGCGAGGAGGGGGGGGGGTGTAATTGTAGTGTCCAGTCTAGTCCAGAGGGAAGTTCTGACTCAGTTGATGTGGTCCAGAGCGCGCAGCAGCTCCTCCCCCTGCAACAGGTACTGGCGGCCCTGTAGGGGGGCGTTTACCTCGCAGTCGTAGCTGGTGAGGTGTGGCAGCGTGAAGGGGGAGCTGCTCACATCAGATGTGGTTCCAAGCAATCTGCTGGCCAAATCTGAGGAGCAGGAGAGACGCGTTAGCAGATGGCGGCTTTACAGCTACGCTGTCATGGAGGTGGGGTGTTTACCTGAAGGCAGGAGGAGAACGGTCCTGGCTGCTACCATCTCTGTCGCCTTCAGCTTTTTAACCTTCTCAGGTTCTTGGGTCACAGATCCCTGGAGACGGAAAACATGTCACAGAAATAAAGCTTTAAGCTCCGTCTTGTTCTTTAACGCGACTGTTCCGAGCTGTTGGCCCCACCTGCTCAATGATCTCCTTCAGTTCGCTCAGTTTTCGTTTACGCTGCACATTCTGAACAGCCAGAGTTCTGAGAGGGATCTCCTGCTCCGGCTTCGGGGCTCTAAAGTCCAAAAAACAGCAAATGTTACCAGGGTTCCCTTCATAGTCGAAAAGTTCCCCAATTTCAAGACTACATTTCCAATTTTTACTCATTTCCAATGTGTAAATACTGCAGTTATTAGGATTCAGAGAATATTTCCACAGAAGTTAATCCTCACAGATGGTATAGAAAACGGCAACGATATCTAGAAATCTCTTTTCTGTATATGATCAAGCTCTAAAAAGGTTTTCATGCAAACATGCTTCAAAAGAGAGAAAGAAAAAGTTACTTTTTTGCAGTGATGGTGGCAGCAGGAGGCGTGCAGACGGACTCGGGTGGAGCTGGGGAAGCCGTGCGGCTCTCTGGTGCGCTGAACGGAGAGCTGGGATAGCTGCGGACGTCCAGCGGGACGAGGACCGGGGAGCTGTCCGGGGGGTTGCCTGGTCCACAAGGCAGAGGCTCTCCGGGGGAGAGGCAGGGCAGCTGGAAGTCATCCTCCATGGAGATGTATGGTGCAAACATCTCCAGTTCTGAGTCCTCCATCGCCTGATGGGGAGGAAAATGATGTTCATGATCAAAGCCTTTTAACATTTCCACTTCAAATCTCACGGCCTTAATCAATTTAGTATTTATGTTTTTTTTAAGAAACTTAAGATCCACAGAATGTATGTTTTTTAGAGCATACTGGGTTTTTGTCTTTAGGAGGAAATAGATATTCACCTCTGTGTTGAAGGGAGTTTTGGAATCTAGGTCGACGGCAAACAGCTTCTCCACCAGGTCGAGTTTAAAGTCCGAGTTCATTTCTGTTTCCATGGGGAAAGAAAAGCCCAGAGGATTGTCGACCTAAGGAGAAAAGGCTACAGGTCAGTCCTCGGTTACCATCGCGCTGACGACCTTAAGACGCCAGAATCGTACTTCTGAAGGTTTGTTGGGTGGTGTAGTCAGGAGGGTGGGAACAAAGCTGTCAGGTTTGGCCTCCTCAGATGCGCTGTTGGAGGCGTCCAGCGGTTCAGTGGGCGACAGAGGAGACATGGGCAGCGTCAGCTTGTCATCCGAGGACGGCATCATTATGTCATTGTAGAGAGGGACATCTTTCAGCAGGTGGGTCTCTGATTCTGCACCTGAAAATCATCGTTTAGCGTTTAATTTCCTGGATTATAGGCGGAACCAGGTCGTCGAATATTAACGGCATGAGGAGAAAACAAACCGGGGCGGCTGAAATCCAGGGAGATGATTGTGTCCCCAGCTGCCGGGGCCAGCAGGGTCAGGGCATCAGGGTGTCCTTTCAGCAGGTTGTACAGACAGTCCTTCGGCTGGATCTCCACCTCCGTGAAGAGCTTTATCACATCCAGCTCTGGAGTCTTCTCCTCCTCCTCCTCTTCCTTCACCTTCAAAGCCTCGTTTGCCTCTGCTGCTGATTCTTCTTCACCCTGCTGCTGCTCCTTCACAGGCTCCACGCCCTCAGTCTGCTCCAAAGACAGGATCAATTTGTCCTCCTGGATCCCGCTGTTGGAAAGAAACATTCCTCAAACTTTAAGCCGTTTTCCCTTAAAATGAGCAACTGGATCATAATCGGTTGTATCTGAGCAACTTCTGTAAAGTGGAGCTGGTTTTGAGCGCTTGACAGTACCTGAGCACAAAGTTGACGCACACAACACACTGAGGCTGGGAGTTCTTGTTGTTGTAGATAACAGTAGCCTGTGTTTCCACCCACACAAAGCCTCCTCTTTTAGCCAGCATCCGGTACTGACCTGTGGTGACCTGGCCCTTTGTAAAAACTAAGAATAACAGAAAGAAAAATCCTCTTTAAAAATGTGACAGAAAAAAAAAAGAAACCGTTTGAATGAGTTTAAGATGTTGAGCTTACGGTGATGGTGAGTCTTTGTCAGGTAGTCTGAGTCCAGAGCATGGTAGTATTCATACACAGAACGGTTCAGCAGGTCTTCTGGATCGTAACCCATGAGCTCGGTGATCCTGAGGAGAAAAAGTTCTGGATCAATTTACTGTACTACCACCATCGACCACTAGGTGTCTCAATTTCTCCAAGAATGAAAAAGCTCTGAGGCGAGTCAGATTGGAGGGCCCCCTGAGCCAACATACTATACTATCTCCCCGGCATGGGAACTAACCTCTCGTCACAGTAGGTGAACTTCATGTCCATGGTGTGGCGGCTAAGGAAGGTCTTGGTGTCCAGAGGGACCTCGATGTTGGAAGGGTGGGGGATGGGGTCACAGATCAGGACCAGATAGGGGACGGGTGGCTCCTTGGGGCCGTCGGCGCTCTGCTCACTGCTGTGAACACGAACGTGACCCGAGCAATGCAGCACCTACGGGAACAACAGTTCAGTCAGAACTTCTACAGAGATAACAGCTTTCAAACAAGAAAACTAATGAAAGATTAAAAGACAAAAAGAACAAAAATCAGCGTCATTATGTGGATTTTGTGCAGGAAAAAAAAAGCACTATTATAGAGCTCTCATTAGTGCCAGGCTTCACTTTTCTTTGCAACTTTATTTAATTACTGATTGATTTTGAATCAATCCTTGTCTGTATTCTCTTTTCACGATAATTGTGCTTTTAGTGTTAAATTGTCCCTCATGGACAAAAAGTCATTAAAAAAATTTAACTACTATTAAAAATAGTTCAGTAACTTCTTTTCTGGATAATAAGAAAGAATGAGTACATTAACACTCATCTAAAATAAAGCTATTGGTGGTTTTCCTAGTGATCATTAGAGCCAAATCAGGGCTCGATGTTAACCATCGCCCGGGGCAAGTAGTTTTGAATTGTTGCCCGGCGGACAAATGCAACGATCGCAAAAAAAAGTTATTTATCACTCAAAATTACTTTTAAATCACCAACATTCGTTTAAAAAAGGAATGCCGGCGTTGCCGGCGCCATGTTTGTTGTTTTGTACACATTCTCGCGTGATTTAAAAAAGCGGCGAGATTTTCCGCTAGATGGCGGGATTTTTGTCGGGAACTGGCGCGAATCAGACAAATTTTTTTCGACTTGGCAGGCTAAAAAACAACAAGGCAAAAAAATTTAAGTACAGTAACACACCCACCACCCATTTCACCCACCACCCTGATAACCCTAGATTAAAAATTATCGGTCAGGGATTAGGAAAATTGGCATAATTGTACGCCATGCGCACTGTGTAAATAAAATCATATGGCAGTCTTCTGTACAGTGATGCAGGTCTTGCATTAAAAAATGTTCATAAATTTTCATTCTCTCAGACATTGGAGAGGTGCATTTAAATGTTATAGAGCTAAACATATTAAATTGGTGACCTGTTATGTTATTATTATTGTCTAAACTAATCCTGAGTCAGTTAAAAGTCAGGGAATTCATAAATTATGTAAGACTGTGGAAACCCTGTATAAAATAACTATGTATAATAATTCTCTAGAAAAGTCACATTATATTAATAGTATTATCTTGTATAAACATACCGTGATTCTAAAATAAAAGTTATTCATTTGTGACATTGACTTCTGTCTTGTGATTTATCTTAAGTTTTGAACCTGTCAAGTTTTTTTTAGATTTTTAACATTACAATTCATATTTTTCCAAGCGCCAAACAGTTTAAAGCAAA